GCGAGCCACCATACCCAGCTAATTTTATATTTTCAATAGAGGTGGGGTTTCACTATGTTGGCCAGGCTGGTCTCGATCTCCTGCCCTCAGGTGACTCACCTGCCTTGACCAACCAAAGTGCGGGATTACAGATGTTAGCCACCATGCCTGGCCAACAATTAAAATAGTTATAATAAATGTAGATAATTTATCATCTATATTATAAAGATAATATTGTGCCATGGGCAGACTTTCTAGTATAATAATTCAGCAAGAGATGATATGAGGACCTAAGGAGGAGGAAGAAAAGAGGGAAAATTATAAAGTAAGATCCACTAGGTTTTGTGATTTTTGTAGGTGGAGGGAGACTACACTGAAACAAGATTTCTACCTTTGGTGAATGGAAGGATGGTGATGTACAGCGGTCAGTTGTAGACACTAGAAGATGCAGTATTAGTTGGATAATTGGGACAGGAGAAATGTTTAATTAAGATTGAGATACATTCAAGATGAAAAAAAAAGAAAGAGATTGGTTGTTTATTGATACACTGTAAAAGCAGTAATAGAGTGTCTTCAAACAGTATTAGCACGTCATAAGATACTTAATATAGTATAAATCCTCTAGGAGGGAAAACATTCCATTTCAAATTATATCAAAAAAGAAATTCTTGGTCAGTCTTTGGCTGTGGAATGGGAAAAGCCTTCACCCCATGGACTGATTCATGAAATAGAGGAGGCCTCAAGTCTTTCCCTTGCCCACTACAACTGTCTTATGGTAAAATATTATCCAAGTATTTTATGTTTGTTTAGAGTCAAGTGATATAGAAAGGAACCTTTCTCCTGGAAATATTGATTCTGTGATTAAGAGCAAGACTTTTTTTTCTGATTGTTTAATTTGGGGAAGGAGGTGTGTTAAAAGAGGTGCGGGAGTGGCTCTATAATATAATATGAAACCACTGACCAACACAAAGTAGTGGCCCATTTTATGGAAAGACTGAAATAATGAGAGATACTATTTCTATGCCATATTTTAGTTGACTCTACAAATTCACCTAGCTTTTGCTATTGTTAATTTTACTTCATTAGAAAGGAGTAAGTAAATGTTGCCAGTTCCTTCTCAATTCCTTAGTCAAAGCAAAGAAATGAGAATTATTTTTGAACCTTATCCTAGATTCAGCAATTTTCTCTATAGAGCTAAAGAGATTGCTTAAATCCCCAGCCAATTTTACTACCTACGAAAAAGGATGCACTGGAATTTGAAGGAATAATTAAATGTACATAGAATAAGTTCTAGTGTACATCTGTGGACAACTAAAAGGAAAGAACCTTGGGCTGTTTTTGGAACATAAAACAGTTACTAGTAAAATGCATTTGCCCCTAGACTCTTTTGGTGTATTCTCTGTATTATTCTGGTTGGAGTTATATTGAGTGCTTTCTAGTACCTATGGCTAGCGGGGATTACATAAAACCAGGTGTGGAGCCCAAGAATAAGCATAAGCTGGAGATAAAATCTTGGGAGAAATCGTCTATGGATGACAGTTTAAAACTTGACATAAGGCCCAGTGACCTATAGAGTGTATAAATTTGAGAAAGCACTGGTTTGAGCATATGTGTATGTAGCCATAGACAAAATCAGCATTTAAGAGGCAAAAATGGGAAGTTCCCAGAAGGAAACTAAGTCGTTCCTGGTTAACTATTCTATATCTGAGGGAAAAAAAAGGAGAAAATGTAGAAGGAAGGGAGTGGTCAGCAGAGTCTAATGGGGCAGAGAGAGCTATTGCGATAAGTCCTGAAGAGTCTCAATTGTTTGGTGCTGAATGGCTGGTCTGCTTAGGGAAAATGTCGGGAACACTATCCCGTGATTTATTCTGTGTCCATGCCAGAGGGTAGAATCAGGTTCAGGGTAGCAGCAGATATTATCTATAAGATAACCATCTTATAGAGATGTGAGAAGGAGTATTTTTTTTTTTTTTTTTTTGGTTAAGAGGTTACCTATAAAGCTGCTTTACTCCTCTAGAAATTCAAGAATCCACTATGCTAGTATCAGGGCAGCTCGACTTTGAATCATTGGCAGTAGGGCTTGAATAGCAGGATTATCCTCTTTACTCTGGGGTCTTTCATTTGCTAGAAATGGCAACACTGTAAAGTTGGTTATACTAAATTTTCTGTAAGCCATTTTAGATGCCCATGAGAACTTGTACTCCTTAATGAGCACATACTCAGCCAAAGCAGCAAAGTGCATATAACCTGCGCTTTGCTTTTTGACTTTTAAATCAAACTAAACATTAATATAAGAAGTTTTGATAATAATCCATGAACTGCATCTCTTTTAAAAGGTTGTGTAGCGCTCTTCCTGTAGGGTAACCATAGCAACTGACAAGGAACAGAGAAAGAAAGCTTTCACACATGCTGTGCTAATTAATCCTGTCCTACAGTTTGCTTTCAACTGAAGGAGGCAGTTTAATAAATTTTGCATGAGTAAGCATGTTTTGATGCATGAACTGTATAAACAAAGCAATATCTTTACCAAAAATATTTGTTAAAAAACGTAGTTGTATATATTTATACTTCAAAGTCTCTTTCTTTCCTTTTTTTATTCTTTTCTTTCTCTTTCTTTGCTTCTTTTTGTCTTCCTTTAATTTTTATTTTTTGAGTCATCATTTTAATAATTTTCTCCATTCCTGAAAAATTTTAGGATTTTTCTTATTAACCAAACAGATATTTTTGGGGTGAAAACTTTTTGTTCATCAATATAGAGGACACTTTTTACAAGAAACTGTTTTCATTGACTAACTATATTCAAATGAGATGAGAGAATTTTTCTCAAGCAATGTGGAATAATGTATCTTAAAAATATAGTAACATTCTTCACTCTATTTGACACATTTACCTGCAAACCGTTTTAAGAGAATTTGTCTTAAGCCTTGGATAGTTAGATATTGAAATTTATTTGTACTGTTGTTTGGGGAAGTTATGTGGCTCATCTGAATAAAATTGGAGTAGTCTTTGGCCTAAACATGTGGGAAAGAGGACGATAATGTAGGTAAAGTGCTTTTTTCTATTTGTACTTTCCAAAAATATTTAACCAGTTTAGCAAACTTATATTCAGAGTGAACAGAGTTGATCTGAAATTGCACATGATTATTTTGATTTATATTACTTGGAGGTTGTTTTGAAGTCTTATTTTTTTCCCTTTACAATTGGGAACATAACAATTTTTTTATAACTAGTTGGGTCTGAGCTGTCAATGAAAATCTTCAACTTTTTCATTCTCTCATGCTTCTGGCTTAGCTTTCTGACAACAGAGCCTCAGGAAAACCAGGGGGGGTCAATCCTAAATGTTTTTAGCATCCCATTTGACTTGACAACAGCATATGGAACAAGTCATAACCTATTTCAGGACTTGTGCCTGGCTTTTCAGTCTCCATATGGAACCATAGCCATTTGAGGAACCAACCCTTTTGATGGGATTACCAAATTCTGCAGACATTGTATCAACTTGATTGTCCCATCTATTTTTCAATTTTGCCTGAATTAAGGTACGATAAAACCTTGCAGAGGAAAGAAGAAAGAAGAGGTTGTTATAGAAATCTGTTGTCAAAAATAGTTTCTCCATTCATATACACACAAATTGGGGACCATGAATGTGTAAGTATGTCTGTGTGTATATAATCTGTATACTTTAATATGGAACACTTATAAATATTAACCAATTTATAGTATACCATAGTATACCATTGCATTATTATTAAAACTGCCTTGTAGAAAAAAGTTGGGATACTGTTACCATGGTTGAATTAATTAGAAATTCTTTGTCTTACCAGCTGTCTTATTAATTTTAAAATGTATATATAATACTGAAAATGGAATGCCATGTTTAATAAAGAGAAAAAGTCATTTTATTACTACTACATAAAAAATTTTAAATTTGAGAACCTTAAAATGAATATGTTATGGTAGGTTCACTATAAAAATATTTTATGTGCTATGTACATCGTAACCATAAATAATACTTTATACTTGTCTCTAATGAATGCAGCTAGATAGAAAGCTGTCACATAGGTTTTCTTCTTTTAAAAAATAACATCTTTAGATTTGGTGGTTTAAAAATGATTGCACATTCATTGTACAAATCTTGGGAAAACTCTCAGAAAAACTTACTAAAAAAGAGGATAATCCCATATTCCAGAGGTAACCACTGAAAATATTTAAATGTATTTTCTGCCAAACTTTTTTCTTTTTTTTAAAAAGAGAAAAAAACAAAACAAAACAAAACCTGCCAGTCTTTTTTCTATGCATGAGTATTTTTGGTTATGAGGTCAAATTGCATCTGCCTTTTCACTTAACATCTTCACAGTTAAAAAAAAATTCTTAAAGGACATTTTAATTTATCATATATGAGTTCATCAATGTATGTACCAGATTTATTTGACTGTTCCTTTGTAGTTATTTCTTTACATGTTTTTTCAAAAGAATTTGTGCAATAAGCATTTCTTAGTGATTATTTGACAGAACACTGAAACCACAAGAAATTGTAGGACAAGTCTTTGAGGAAAGCATCATATTCTCCTCTTGCAGATTCACAGTGCGCATTAGAACAGTTAAGAAAACTGAGAAGTTTCACAATTTAGGGACTCTTTAATGATCTAAATCTATTTTTTTCTCAAAGTTATTTGACCAAGGAACCCTTTCTCACAATACTTATAACTCTTCTGAAAAATTCAAGAGATTTCTAAGCTCCTGTGTTATCTCAGTTTATGAATTATTTGTTTACTCTGCTGATATCTTATTAGAGTAATGATATCAGTGCTTTGTTAGGAAATAGAAATGATTTAATGGTTATTAGCATGTGTTAAAAACAGAAATCACAATCCCCAACTCTCTATTAACTTTGACATTGAACTCCTGATTCTGTATTTTTTTTAAAAGATCAGTTTGACCTTTAAAATTGTGAGCATTGAAATTTAAATTCCCTTTTGCTAATGCTTGTTAAACTTCTTTATGTTTCATATAATCCACAGGTCTTGCAAGAGCAAAATCCGTCCCTAGCCACACATACTCCAACGAAGTGGTTACCCTGTGGTACAGACCTCCAGATGTCCTTCTAGGCTCAACAGAATATTCCACCTGCCTTGACATGTGGTGAGAAATGGAAGCTTTACTCTAGCTAATCTATCTCTAGTGCTTGGTCTGGGTCAAGCCTAGACAAACATCCCAACAGTTTGAATGAAGATTAATAGTGCAGGAGTGTTTGCCTGCATGTGGCCATACTGCTGAATGTTTTAAAACATGATTGGGAATGTTCTCTAATTAGAGTCTCCTTTGCAGGTGGTGTGTGGTAATGGTTCTTGATGGACAGGGGCAAAGACATTTTTCTAACTGTCAGTATCATGATTTTTCTCCCTAAGGGTCTTAATTTGTGGCTGTATTTTATAACAAGGGAAGTATATACCTCTAAAGGGCAACAGGATTGAAGTAGCAGGGAGCCTGTTTAAATTTGCAACAAAGCTCTGATGAGTGGTCTGATAATTTTGGTATAACTGTTAGGCACAAATTTGACTCCACAGTATGTTCCTGAAAACTTCTGACACTAATTGTCCAAAATGAAATAAAATGACTACTTTTAAAAAATATTATGTGTTTAATTTTAGGTCTTAATTTCACACAATGCTTTAGCAAAGCTTAAAAATCTATTTTATGCATCCAATGACTTGCAAGATTTAATTCATAATTAATATTAATGGTATATACTATGCTGAGTTTCCAATTAAGTGTGATCCAAATCAAACAATCAAATAATGGAATAATTTATTTTTGGCATGAATGACAAGCTTACTAGTGATTGTTGAACATGTCTTTTATTAATATAAAAATTTCTTTTCTAGACTCACAATTGTGTCCAAGGTAAAACAATTTACATAGCACATGGCTATTTTATAATAGGAGTAATCTTCCCTGAATGATTATACCCCATATGTAGAATTCCACTCTGTGTTCATATAATTTTATGACCTCAGTAAAACTGCAGTATGTGTAGTTTATCTTATTGTTGTATGCTTACTTCAGTGATCTACCCCCGATAATCTTGGCTTTTCATGAAGGGGCTATGATGAGTCTTGGCTTCTTTCCTGTTGTTTTTTATCCAAAAATGTTATGGTGAGAAAACAATCAAGTGTCTCACAATCTAGGGCACAGTGCAGATTTTTTTTAAAAAAATTTTCCAGCAGCCCTCCCTAGGAATGGGATTTGGGGATTTATAAAGCCACTAAAGTTACCTGCAGCATTTTGTGTACATGAGAATACATTTATTTTTATTGAAGTGTAGATTTGCAGCTTTCAATAGAGCAGTAAGAAGATCAGATAATCATACAGCTTAAGACCTGTTGTCATAAATTTTGTAATGTCTTATAATAAACCTAATACCATTTTAATGATATTCTAAAACACTGAGAATAAAGATGATCATCTGTCGTTAAGGGGCTGAGCTAATCTTTATTTTATCATACTACCTGGCTTTTTGGGAGCAATGGTAGTTTACATTGTTAGCTTTTTTTCCCCAAGATAGGGATTTGGGTAAAATAGGTATTTAGATAATTGGTTGTAATGGCAGAAAAAGTTGAAAATAAAGGCCAATGAATGCATCAGGATATTAGTTACTAACACTTTCTCATGCCTTTCCTACTTCCTGACTTATAGTTGGCTATGCAAAGAGTCATTACTTCAGATTATTGTGTTATGGGGCTTTTTCTTCATGTTTCGAATATGGAAATTCTAGGTTGTCTTTCAATGAGGTCAGTTAAGGACTCTGCTAATAAAACATTGGTTGGAAACATCTGTGGCTTAGAGCCAGTTTTGTCTTAGTTGCTTGGCAGTTCAGTTAAGACTCTACCCTCAGAACGTTTTTTACAAACCAGTGGCTAATTTTTCCCAAACCTTTAAAAGCACCAAGAACCAAATGGACTGTGACTTAATATGTGTGTTTCTGAAGTGTAGCTCAGTATTTGATTTCCACTGTGTGCCACTTTTTCTTCTATGTGTGTTCATTCTCTCAAGGAAGACAGCTTGGACACTTTCTGCCAATTTGCTTTGAACAGAGACATAATGGAAGCACAAGAAGAAGACTGTTATTTAAGTGGAAAGGAGGAAAACTGCTAGAAACTAGTAGACCCCAAATGCCCTTTTGTCTTCATGCCAAGATTATTCATTGCCAGAACCAAATAGCAAATGTGTTATGTCTGAACAGCTTCCCATGCTTACCACCTCTTCACTTCCAAACCCTAAAATCTATGTTATATCTATGCCTTGCCTGCCTGTCTGCATCTGATTTCATTCCAAGTCATTTTCTAAAAGCTATCTTGTTATTATCCTATAAGTCAAATAAAATGTATGTGTTTTTTCAGTTAGAGAGAAGTTCACAGTTACTGATTTTTGCCTAATCAATGACATCGATGCTGGCTATTCAGATAACTAGAAATGGGACTATAATTGAGTCATGGCTCAGCTGCTGCAAAGAGAAGTGCAAATATTAACCCATGGACAATAGCAGGGAGGCAGGTGGCTATAGTTTCAGGCTTTTTTTACAGTTCATTTATCAGTGTGGGGCAGTAAGGTAGTAACTAAAGACTAGTAATCCCTATACAGTGTTATATTTTCCAGTTTTCTGTTTAAATAGCCACAGGCAATAAAAATATTAATGAAGACACATATGCACTATCACTTGTCAGAAAATGATGGAAATCAAAGCTGGCCATGTTACTATCTTCTCCTCCATATCCCCAACACTGACAATGAACAAACAACCCTGTGTGATTTGGGAACTCATCAAGATAGATAGTTTTTGATACTTTTATATCCCTCTGTAAATTTGATTCCTCTGCTTAACAGAGGAATATAAAAATATTATACACTATTATATATCTATATAATATATAAAAATATTATATAATATTTCTGTTAAGCAGAAGAATATTAAAATATTATATTTTATATTCCTCTGTTAAGCAGAGGAATCAAATTAAACATTTCTTCTATATAACTTCTCTTAATTTTTGGATTTATAACTCTTTGAAAGTCAAGGCATAGGAAATCATTGGTAAGCTTCTAAACCAAAAAGGCTTACTAAGTTCTGAAAGCCAAATTAAGAGAAGAGCAAATGTAACAAGCAGCTTATCTGTGTAGTTCTTCCTTTGCTAGGGAGCTTTGCTCAAGCTGTTGAGGTCATAAATAAGCTTTGTATTCCTCTATAGAAGTTCATAAACATGTTTAGAGCTACATTTGTTTTTTGAAAGCAGAAAAGCAGAAGGTCACTTGGGATTATTTAAGGGCTTAATTTTTAAAATAAGATGACTAAGTCATCTGTAGCTCATAAATGATTATTTCATCAAGATCATAGTACTTTGTGGGGGTAAAATATACAGTAGCATTACCCTGAGGTATCAGCTACAGTACTCCCCAATACCCCAACAGTATATGAAGAATGGTAGCATGTCAGTCTCTTCCTTTCATTATTTTTTTTAAAAAGCTGATTAACATATTAACTGTGCTTGTCAAAATGTGGGGCAAATCATTTATAAATAAGCCTGTCAAATGTAATGAGATTGCATATTAAATCATCCGTTTCCCTATTACATCTCTGATTTAAGATTAAAATTAATTTATTTAACATTGTAGCAGCTGAGTGGTTAGAAAAAAATTCCATACTATTCCTGATATATAGAAAAATATCTGCATCAAAATTGATTTTGCATATAGTAGAAAAGAAATTGCCTGTTTATTAAGTATTATATGGCCATTTAGCATTGCTTTTTTGTTGAATAAGCCTAGTCCCCATTACATATTGGCATTATACAAAGTTCTACCATCATCTTTAATGATCTCTCTTGAACCAAGAAAATGTATGTAATAAAATAATGTTTCCTAGGACTTAGGTTTATTTACTAATGTTTTAAGGTAGAGAATCACAAATTAACCCTACTATAGCCCCTGCTCTGAAAATAAATTTGTTTAATATGAGGTCCTGTGGTTTGATACATGAGTAATAATAATAACAATAATAGGTACTTTTATTGAACACAGACTGTATTCCGAGCTCTGCTATGTGTTTTAATTACTTAACCTGTTTTACCATTATACAGTAAAAAGAAACCAAACCCAGAGAGACTAAATAATATGGGTAAGGTCATGCAATTAGTAAATAGAGTGCAAACTCAAACTCAAGGATAACCTACTCAAAGCCTTTTTTTTTTTTTTACATTACACTATATAATCTCTTAAGAATATTTGTTTAAAAATTAGTCTTTGTTTCACCACGGGAGCAACTCTAAAACACAAATACAGTAAAACATTTATTTTATAGTTTAGCCTACACTCTGAGTTTTGTCATGTCCTTCGCATAGTTCAAATATAGTGGGTGTCTTTCACTCTCACTCAACAGTCTATGGACTGCTTTTCTCTCCTGACATCAATGTTTTAAGACATTTTACTATATAATTTATGCAAGGAAGTTTTTTTTTTAAATAAACTAACACGGAATTCATTGGATTGAATACATTTTCATGGGACCAGTATCTATGCTGGCATATATTAATATTTTCCCAATTCTTAGCCATTACTTATTTATTACTTCTGCTAAAATGAATGAGTTCATTGTAAACCGAAGGGTAGTAAGAATGAGAATTTGAGTTCATGAGTTATGTTGAATCATGTATCTGTCAGCACTGTTTGTTCTATTTCTAATTAATCAGATCATAACACCAAGAAGCATATGAATTAGTTACTGTCAAAGGTTACACCTCTTTAAGAGTTCTTGAGAACTGCTCAAATAATGCATGATCCAAGTGACTTGTTGGTGTAGCCACCAAAATGCATTGGAACATAACAAAAGAACTAGGGACAGTCAGGAGGGCATCCAGGAGATTGAAGCATGATCTCATGCTGGCAGCCATGGTTTCTAAGTCCACTTCCACTACTGAAGTCCCTTAAAATTAGGATGACTGTATAGTTTATTATTATGCCAAGACACCTTTGAGAGTTAATAATTCTGCCAGGATAATAGGTGTAAAACAGAGATAACTGTGACATGTGGTCACTTTTCTCATAATGCACTATAGCAATAATTTGCTAAATACTACTAATCAGAAGAG